AAATAACAAAATAAATTAGAGTTTTAAATTAAATCAAATATAATATATTATTTATTAAATAATTTAAATAATTTGATTAAATTAGGTTAGATTAGGTCAGGTCAGGTCAGGTCAAGTCAAATGAAAATTTAAATCAGGTCAGATTTTTGTTTGACCTGATCTGATTCTCTCAGTTCAGGTAACTTGATTGACCTGACCTGAACTGACCTATTTAGAGTTCTAACAAAAGATCATTGAAAAAAATGTACAAAAGAAAATATAGTACGTATCTTCCTAAGCCTATTACCTTTACTCAAGGTCTTTAATGGGAAGAGTTTTGCTACATAAAAGTTCTTCTTCATGTTCGATATCGAGATTTTTAGCAATTGACAGAGAACAGAACTATTACATTATCAGCTCTATATGACTGCTATATTGAAGAAATAAATGCTGATATAATCGATCTACTTAGTCAACCTATGGATAAAAAATTGATAAATCTGTTGATAAAGAGGATGAAGAACCATTCGAAGATGATGATGGAGACGAATTAAGACCTGATTGGATATTTTTAGCAGAAATAAATCTAAATTTAATAATTGATTATTCATTTGACCTAGGATTATATAATATAGATTATAATCATGATTGAATTAATGAGGCTAGATAATGATACTCTAATGCAATCTTATAGAAGCTGATACTTTTGTGAAAAGAGTTTTTATTAATGAAAAAGAGGATGAAGGAAATAAGTTGGATAATTTAGATTAGCAGACATTAAATAAGAAGCAAAAGATCATCTTTAAGCGAGTAGAGTCTTATTATAATGATATAATTAATGGCCATTAAGCTAGACTAATAAGAATTATTGTAATGAGAACTGCAGGAACTGCAAAAACTTACCTCATTAATGCAATCTGAGGTAGACTTCGCAAGATGATAAGAATTGGATCAAAATCACTTATAATTATGCTTGCACTAATAGGTATTGCAACTTTCAATATTAATGGGATTAAGATATATTTTGCACTTTCCATCTCAATAATTGCTGATAAGAATCTTGATATAAACAGTAAACAATTGAAGTAACTACAGAATAGATTACAAAATGTGACTTATATTATAATCGATGAGAAAAGTATAATCAGTCGTTGAATGCTTAGTTTGATTGATATGTAACTTTGGCAAGCTTTTTCTGAACACAATGATGAATGATTTAGTAATAGATTAATCTTATTTGGAGATTTTGATTAGCTTCTGCCTGTGTTTGATTTTCTCATATACATCAACATTTCATGAAATTTACTGTCTAATAATGATCTTGCAGCATATAAGTAGTTTAAAGAAGTGTATAAACTTGATATTATTCAGTATCAATCTAGAGATAATAAAAAGTAACAGGATTTTAGAGACCTTCTCTTACGGTTGTGTGATAGAAATTCTACTTTAGAAGATTGAAAGACTCTTATTACACAATTTAAAGAGAAGCTAAGTAGAATAGAGCATGAAAGCTTCTCAATCGCTTTGTTCATCCTAATAAAATAGTTTGACATTAATGTTGTCAATATGAACAAACTTATGTTTTTAAACATTCTTGTTGCCAAATTCTTGCTATATATACAAGTGATAATGAAGCTAAGAAAGCTGACTCAGACGTTGCATATAATCTTGCAATATAGTTATTACTTGCAAGAGATGCATGCGTTATGTTGACAGTAAGCCTATAGATAAAAGCTAAATTAGTTAATGGTGCAATGGGAACTGTTTAGGATCTTTTATTCAGAGAAGATCAAGGATCGCTTTCTCTTCTAGTAGTAGTTCTCATTTCTTTTAACAATTACAGAGATCCTACCATTAACAGCTTAGAGAATACAAATGTTGTTCTAATTGCACCCATTCGACGTATCTGAAAGGGTAAATCTAAAACATTATGTTCACATCTACAGATTTCTGTTTGTCTTGCATAGGCCATAACAGTGTATAAAAGTCAAAGGCTTATGTTATAAAAGGCTGTAATAGACTTTGGCAGTAAAGAATTTATGGCTGGTCTCTCATTTGTGACAGTGTCTAGGTCTGCTCTATTGGAGATCTTCTCTTTAAGCCCTTCAATTTTGAGAGACTCTAGTATATTAAGGAATGTAAAAGGTTAGCTGAAAGGATAGACAAAGAAGAATGTTTAGCTTTCTTAATACCTAGAAATTGAAATTTATACTAGAATTATTTTAGAAATGGTTTAAATATTAATAATACAGTAATAAAGCATAATATGAAAAAACACTAATTTCCAAATTTTCTTGTACGACCAAATAGCGTTCAAATTGATAACTACTATTTTGATTTGATCAATTCTAGAGGCGTTGTGACAGACGGAAATCCTCACGTGACAATACAATTTTCACACTATGTCCTAAAAGTATAATGTCCTACGCTTCGCTCCGGACAATCACTATCACTAAGTTCATTATATTTAAAATTGGCAAAATAATAAAATAATTTTTTATTATAAAAAAGTTTTAAAAGGTTTTTATTAATGACAATTTGGATTTTGGCATAATAAAAAAAATGCAGTTGTATTGAGATTAATGATATAATAATCAGGGGGCCCGAATAATTATATCGTAACCTTCACGGGTAATCGCCGATAACTCCAGTTACTATAGCAATGCATAGATTGGTGGATTTTGCCAACTCGTGGCAAAATATCCAATCAATGCTTTTCTTACCGTGAACTGTGTAGCGCAGCTCATATATAAATGTGGCTGGTGCTATATATGTGATGGTTAACTGCACGGAATTGCTGCGATTGCGTTTTTTTATATTTATCTCAGCGACTTTTTTTTTTCAAGACTCCAAATATTATTTGTCACGCCTTATTTGTCACCAATACGCCACAAACCTGGCACACATTTCAGACGTGCCTATCAATAATCGTATTTGCTTTCAACCGATTCTTTCAATTTTAGCGATAACTATAAATAATAAATTTTTCAGAGCAGTGTATTTTTCCCGTAAACTCTTATTAACAAATAAATGGTAAGTTTCAACGCCCGTAGAAATTGGCTTGTGATTAGCAAATTATCAAGTTACTAAAGTTATTTATTTCAGAATTCGTTAAAGTCTTCTCAAAAAGAAAAGGTCAGACAGTTCATGGCTTTCACAAGTGCTAGGTATTTATATTTTATAAATTTTATAGTTTTGTCCGGTTCTTGATCGATATTAAGGAAATATACTTAGTAACTTCATTATTTCTCAGTGAAAGGGTTTCCATCCGAAAACTTAAAGATTGTAACTGGAATGTCGAGGTAGCGGTAGACGCTTTTTATAATGACCAATCTAGTGGTAACTCTTGGAGAGGTTTAACAAGTAGTTCAACGGGAGTTGACGCGTATAAGCTCAACCAGATCTTTTCTAAATATAAAGGTGTGTGGTTGAAACCTTTTACGCGTATCGTCGTTGTCTAAATAAGAATATACATTTCACACTAAAAAGGATCTGGATTAATCTATTAGAAATAAATTTAATTCTTCGTAAGCGTATCCCAAAAGATATGCTTCCTCTTTGAAATGGATCGCATTTTGGTTCCAAAGACTAAGTGTTTGTTTTATTGATCAACTTATCTTTCTTTATATCAATAGATAAAGATGAAGATGCTATTTTAGTTGATGGTATGTTAGAGTATTGTAACGATCTTGGCGTTGCTCCTGAAGATGTTGTAATGTTGGTGTTAGCTTGGAATCTTGAGGCAGACAAAATTGAATTCAAGCGTCAGGGTTTTATCAACGGGTGGACTAAACTAAGGTGAATATTGAGTAATTAAGAAATTTAATTATTTAATTGATTTATCTTTATTGATTTATATTCTTTAGATGTGATTCTATTGAAAAAATGCGTGGTGCTATACCTCATCTTCGACAGTCATTGAAAGAGGAAAGTACATTCAAAGAGATTTATCAATTTACGTTTAAGTTTGGATTAAGTGAAAATCAAAAATCTCTAAGTAGGGTACTACTTTACAATAATATTTCATTTTTTTAGTATATGGAATATTGTTTAAATTTTTTTTAATTATATCTTTAAGGTCTTGATGTGGCGATAGAATATTGGCGGTTATTGTTGAGTGATCGTTGGCCTCATCTTGACATATGGATAGAATTCGTTAAGGTAAAAGCACTCAATCAATTTTAGTTCGATTAATTTATCTTGCTATAGATTAATTATATACTGTATATATATTCCTATCAATAGGAAAAGCATGGCAAATCGATTTCTAAGGATACTTGGAACTTGGTACTACTTTTAATAATTATAAATTAGTTATATTTTTGAATTATTATTAAATTCGTTATCTTTACTTTTTAGTTACTTGATTTTATCAAACAAATCAATCCCGAGCTTTCAAATTATGATTCCGAAGGTCAATTGAATAACCCCTTAAAAGTTTATTGATTGTATTATATGGTTTTCTTACAACATATATATTTTTTTAGGTGCTTGGCCGGTTCTCATCGATGAATTTGTGGATTATTGTAGAGAAAAATTGGGATTGCCTGCCCCTTAGAAGTATCCTCTGTTAAAGTATATTCATGATAAAATAACAAGTGTGTTTATTTTCATTATTATTGTAAACAATTCGTTGATTGGATTGTAAAAATGGTGTAGTTCATATTTGTGTCATATATCTTAAGACATTTTTCTTTTTCTTTTTTGTTATTTTTGATACTTTCTTTTTTTTGTGTTAAAGTTTTCATTTCACTCTAAGTTAAATAATTATTAGTACTTATTTAGACGTTTATTGAGGTGATAACCATAAAATTGTTGGTTTAATACATTTGCTGCTGTATCCATGCTAGCATTGCGCATTTGAATTTCATCCATAAAAAAATTTTAATAATCATGTTACTGCGGTTTTCCCCTGTATATTGTCCACGTGGACTTTAATGAATATTTGGTTGAAAATCAAAAAACCAATCAAAACAATTTCCGCAAATACTTTTTCATTCCCTTTTTTTCTTTTTGAAACAATTTCAGATATTCGTTGGGTTTTTTTCTTATTTCTTGTCCCGCTTATATAAATTTGCTTACGACTCAGAGATCATCCTTTAACGTTCGTCTTAATTTATTGACAAAAAAATTTTTTGCATTTATAAGAACGTTAAGAACGACGTATAATATATCAAATATGGTCACCACAGATGAAGGATGTAGAAGTCTCTATGTGGGCAACCTTGATCCAAGAGTAACAGACAGCATGCTTCATGAGATCTTTGGGGTGGCGGGATCTGTAAACAATACGAAAATTATTCCTGATAAAAATGTGAGTTGACCTATCATCACGACAGGCCAGTACGAGTAAAAGGGTAGAGGGGGGTTTAGACTGAAGCTTAATCTTGATCACCTTCAGTGGTGTGCAAAAAATGCTTTATTTCTTTGAAGCGAGGGAACTTTTTGAAGCAAGCTCTAGTTGGAGTATCCCTGATGGCTGACCTAAAGCTGGACACTCGAGTTGCGCTCCATACTTAATTGACGCAGCTCAAAGGTTGGAATTCCTTTATCTTCCCTCAATATCCGCATCTCTTTCCCTAATGTTTCTTTTTATTATTATTATTTTTATTTTTATTTCTATTATTATTATTATTATTTTTATTTTAATTTAGTAATTTTTTTTTTCAATTTTCTGTCGATTAATTTTTTTTTTTTTGAATCGTTTTCCACTTTATTTATTTCTTTTATATATATTCTATCATTCTTTTTTAGTAAATATCTGTCTAACTTTTTTTGATAAAAGTTATATGTATATACTTTTGCAGCTTTAGTTTTTGTGTGGGGCGACTGAGTGTAAATACAAGACAAAGTACCGATTTGGCTCGTATGCTGATCTCTTAAAACTTTAGAAATACGGACACCTTGCTTATTTTTATAATCTTACATAATCATGATCACTAACAACAATCTTAATTTTTTTCTTTTTTTTATAATACTTTTATATGTGGTGTTCTTCCCAATTATCGACAGTACCAACATGGAGGATTAAATTACGGTTTTGTTGAATTTAATGACCATCGTTCTGCTGAACAAGCTCTTCAGACCCTTAATGGTAGAAAAATATACAATATGGTATTTGAACATTATTTACAAATAATTATTTGAAATGTATATATATTATCGGTTATTTATGGTTCAAATATTATTAGGAAATTAAAGTGAATTGGGCTTTTCAAGGACAACAAGGTCATAAAGAAGACACATCAAGTAAGTATCATCACTATTTATTTCTTATTATGTGCTCATCGTGTTATGTTGCTGAACCCGTTTTGTTTTTTCCCTTTTATTCTCTTTATTTTCTTTTTTTTTTCTTTTTTCTTCTGCTTTATTATTCTATAATAAACTAAGATCATTACCACATCTTTGTTGGTGATTTGAGTCCTGAAGTTAACGACGAAGTACTTGCCAAAGCCTTTAGTGCATTTGGAAGCATGTCGTAAGTAATTTGGCGAATTAAAAATTTATTTTGACGTGATATTTAAATTTTTTGAAATGTATTTATTAGAGATGCTCGTGTTATGTGGGATGTAAACTCGGGAAAGTCTCGGGGATATGGCTTTGTAGCTTTCCGTGATAAAACCGTAAGTCTTGAAGATGACTACCATTAATGGATTTGATGATTGTAGTGGTTAAGATACTTTTTTGACAAAAAATGATTACGACTTTGAATGGATATCTTTTTTTTTTTTTTAAAATTAAATTAAGATATTGATGATTTCTGTAATTTTTTTAGGACGCTGAACAAGCTATTGCAACAATGAATGGTGAGTTTGGAACCTATTATAAATTATTGCAGCAACGGTTTAATATACATTAGAAGGTAATGTATTAATTTTTTATTATAATATAGGTGAATGGCTTGGAAGTCGTGCTATCCGATGCAATTGGGCCAACCAAAAAGGTCAACCGGGTCCAGGGAGCACTACATCAGAACGACAAGGTAGCACATTGTTTAATTTTTTGTTATTAATTTTTTTGTCAATCGTTGATATTGGGGATTTGTCCAAACTATTAGGAACACCCACGTCAGCACCTCAATTATCGTATGAAATCGTCGTTGCACAAACTCCACATTATAATAGTACGGTATACGTCGGCAACTTGCCACCTTATACTACACGTAAGTTTTATTAACTCAATCTTTTGTGGGTTAATTTGGATTAATACTTACAATTTTACTTTAGAGGAACATTTGATGCCATATTTCCAAAACTTTGGATATATTATTGAAGTTCGCATGCAAGCAGATCGTGGTTTTGCATTCGTGAAGTAAGTTATGAATTTTTTATGGAACTGTATTTTCGTCGTATTCTTGAACTAATTTGCTTTATTAATCGTATTAAGACTAGATACACATGAAAATGCGGCCAATGCAATTGTAAATCTTCAAAATGCAAGTGTTAATGGTAGAGTCATTAAGGTAACAACTTTTATGAAAAGGGAGTTTATAATAATATTATTCATTATTTGAGAGCTCAATTCACATACCTAATCTAATTCTTGTTTTATGATTAGTGTTCTTGGGGGAAAGATAGAGCTCCGGAACAGTCGACTGCAGCTACCTATCATGCGTATAGTGTTCCAGGTACGACCTATAACTATCCATATGGATATTATGGCAATCATACTGCTCATCATTATGCAACTCCAGGTACAGAAGCTGGTTATGATCTTCCACCTGGTATGTCCGCTCCACCACAATCTTTGGCATCTCTTGACGGAGCAACTGCTGCCGCAGTAGTCGCAGGTCAACAACATGCCACGGCTAGTTGGGAACAATATTATAATAATGGTGGTTACGCTGAAGCATATGGACAATATTATCCGTATGGGTATGGTACTCAAGCCGCCGGTACAGGAGCCCCTGGTGCCCCCGGAATGGCGGCTCCAAATTCTCCACATGCGGTTCCTGGTGGTCATCCACCTTCGGTAGGCGGTCACGGGCCATCAAGTGGAAGTGCTTATAATGGATAACTCTGGATTAAGGGGGTGTACTTATTGAGAGAGAAGATAAAATAGAATCGAAGGAAGGAATTTAATTATATTAATTACGGTCTTTGATGAATAAGCTTCTCTCTCTATTTGTTAATTTTTTTCTCTCTTTTTTTTTTTTCTTCAAAATATATATATATTTTTTTCTCATATTACAATGGAAAAGTTTTTTTCGATAATGTTATAATTCTCATTTAAGTGTATTTTCTTTGTATTGTGGCTGGTTTTTTTTTTTTTCTTTTTAGTAATAATTTGGTTTTTTTTTAAAAAAATGCGTTGGTAAAGTTTTCTTTTTAATTCATATAAATCATTAGTTATACCAAGTTATTAATTTTATTGACCTTACTTTCGATTTTACTATTATTCTTATTCTTATATATATAGCAAAAAAAAAAAAAAAAAAAAAAAAAGTAATGAACAATCAATATCATGCAAACATAACACAGATAATACTTTACTTTTTTTTTTCGTATTCCTATCTATATGATCTTATAATTAACAAAAAAAAATTTTTTTTTTTATTTCTTATCGGTAACATTGTTTTTTACAGATTTAAAACATTTTATTTTCTTTTTTTTTTCATTTTGAAAATTTTAGTTTTATGATATAGAAATAAAAAAAAAATCTTAAACCCTAGGTCAAATTAGTATTTATAATAGATCATTTCTAAAGTTGAATTTAAGCTAACTTTGATTTACGAGGGCACATCAAGTAACTAAATAACGCATGATATCAGATAATGAAACGATTCCTTGTAACTTATTTTCAGAATCTACAACTATTAAACGATGTACTGGTGCATTTTTTATTAAATCAAATATTGAATGAAGTGTATCACTTAGTGTACAAGTATGAACTCCAGGAAAATCCTGCAATGATAAATGGAATAAATAGTTAATGAAAAGGAAAAGGATTAACGATATTCATTCAAGAAATTTATGAGTTATTACCTCAGGACGGCGTAATAATGCTTCGCCAACTAGAATATCCATTACATGGTATGTTCCAGCTCGAACCAAAGTCTAATAATAATATTAATTTATTAAAATTGCGATAAAGCGAAAAAAAGCTCAAAGGTATAATGTTTCATTGTTACAAACCATTACATCAACCGTTTCATATACATTCAACACCTTGCCTAAATAAATAAATATATATATAATTTTTATTATTAAATAAAAAAAAATTCATTGTTTACTCTATGATTACCATTTTCATCGATTATGGGGACTGAAGATATTCGACGTTCCACAAAAAGATTTACAACTTCAATAACGGGTGTGGACATTTGAGCGGTAGCAAGATTTTCATAAACGCCAATTTTAATTTCTGATAAAGGTTTTTTTAATGCTTTAGTCTCCTTACACTATACATATGTATAGAATTAGTTTCAAGTAAAGAAAAAAAAACGCGCCTTATTGATGATGTTAGAAATATAAAAACTTACATTCATTGCGATAAATTTCAGAATTCTATATTGGGTTAACACGGATACAATCATTTCTTGTCCAGTTTCGGAATCCGTATCAACCAATGGTAATCGATGTGCACGTGCTTCTACCAATAATTTACATGCTTCGAACAATGATTTTAGAGGGTGTATCGATAATAATTGTGGAGGTGGTGCACCAACACGACTTTCGACGTCTAGAATGAACGTACTTTTTTATTAGCGTTTGATTTTTTTTTTAAAAAAAAAATAAAAGAAAAAATTAAAATATATCATGAAATACCTCTTAATTGTTGAATTTGAAATTGTTCAATTTCTTCCATAGCAACGGCATAAGAAGTATGTTTATAGTAATATTGTATTAAATTTATAAAATCCGATACGGTCAACATTCCAGCAAATTTTTGATTTGTTGAATCCCAAAGTGGTGCTGATACGATTCCTAAGTATTAAAAATTTCATTTTTTTTTTTTTTTTTTTTTTTTTTTTTTTTTACGGCATCATTGAAATAACTGTTATATCATTATTAAATCACAAAATATTATATTTATTTGAGCAAGTTCATTTTCTTTTAGTAATTATCAATTACAGAGAACACCAAAATTTTGAATAATTTTTTTTTTTTTTTTTATTTTTTTTTTCCTTTTAAAAAAAGAAAAATAAAAATAAAATAAAAAATAGAAAGGAATGATGCTAAAAAAAAGGAAATATAATTATGAAAATAAATACCATTTTGCATTAAGGCAGCAAGTGCTTTTTTAACGAGTAAACTGGTGTCCAAGACAATTATTCTATAACTAACAGGTAATACATCATAAGAAGAGTGTTGTTTTAAAAAATTACAGACGAGCCTCCTTGGGGAATTATTCGATTCACTATCCGAGTCTAATCTAACTGGCTGTTTATCGATTGGAAAAATGCCACCTTGAGAGATAAATTGTGTGAAATTTATTCCTGCATATGATGATGGTCCATAGCTACCTCCTTCATTATTTGGTGTGAGATTTGGTGTATTAATATTTAAATTTAAATTTCTTTCATTCATGGATAAAGTAAAGAGAGAAAATTTATATATAAAAAAAAGAGGAAATTAATTTTCAGAAAAACGTTCGCTTAAAAAAATGGAATTATAAACAAAAAAAACTAGTTCACGTTCACATGTTCACATGTAAGTGTGCAGAATATGCAAAGTAACGTCACGCTGCTGATAAAGATTTAAAAAAAAAAAAAATTAAAAAAAAAAATTTTATTTTATTTTATTTTTGAATATACGAAGCCAAGAAATAAAAAGAACAATTATGTCAAAAAAAATTGAGTATTACAGAAACCAGTATTATTCCTATTGCTCACGCTGAAGCTCCAGCTAATGAACCCGAGAACGAAGAAGCACTTGAAGAACCAGAAGATCTAAAGCCACAGATCGAAGAAGGTTAGACCAAGTTTAAAAAAGGTTTGAGGAAAATACATACAAATTTATATATATAATATTATTAATATAAAATTGTTTTCAATTAGAATGCGGTGAAACCACAGCTTGTAAACCTTTAAAACATCACCTTGAAGAATGCGCTCGTCGTGTTGAAGCAGGTGGAACCGACGAAACTTGTAAGTATTTCTTTTCATTTTTGTTCTTAAGGAAAAAATTTATTTATTAATAACGCACATTATTATGTTAAAGGTGCTGAAGAATTATTACACTTTATGCATTGTGTAGACCATTGTGTAAGTTCAAATTCTTTTCTCAACATATTCAGAAAGTACATTATTTTATCAAAAATTTTTCATTTTCATTTTTTTTTTTATTAGGCTGCACCTAAAATTTTTGCAAAATTAAAATAATTTAAAAAATCATGGTCCTTTAAAAAGCTTTACTTATTTTGTTGAATAAATACAAAAAAGTTTCAAATAAAAATATATAATTTATTTCATATTAACTTTGGAAGCAAAAATATTTTGAAGTTCAATGATGGATCTTCTAGTATTAGTATAAAAAATACTTTATTTGAGTCGTTCATTAAGATTACGATTTTAAAAAAATCAAAACTTTTTTGTTATTGTATAGGAAAGCGAATTATCGCGTCATTTCGTGGGATTTTTGTTTGGAGACGTAATTGGCCAACACTATCATTAATAAAATTTTATTATGTAATCTCAAATTGCCACAAATTAATTTATAAAAAATTTATGTTGTTGCTCTATATAAAAAAAAAAAAAAAAAAACACATCGGACCTCTTTCTTCATTGCTCCCCTTCATATAGTAGAAAATTTTTCTTACCATATATTAGTAAAACTGAGATGCCTCAATCCCGCTCCCCAAAAAAAGAAGTAAAGGATAAGGATGTACCGAAACCTAACTTTGCGTTATCTGGAAAGCTTGTAGCAGAAACTAATTCTTATAATGGAGTTGTATTGAAATATTTTGAGCCACCAGAAGCTCGCAAACCAACAAAAAGATGGAGGTTATACGTATTTAAGGGAGATAAAGAAATAGGTAAGTTTCGTTTCAATGAAAATTTGATGATTATGCAAAAACACATTAAATTTTTCTTATATTTCAGATATTCTTCACATACATCGACAGAGTGCATATTTATTTGGCCGAGAGAGAAAAGTAAATAACAAATGATCTTTTTATTTCGTTAATTCTGTAATTCTATAAACAAATTTTTTTCAAAATGTTTTTTTTTCTTTTAGGTAGCTGATATCCCAATTGATCATCCTAGTTGTTCCTCTCAGCATGCTGTATTGCAATTTCGTCAAATAACCACAACAGATGATGAATCTGGGGAGAAGCTTTCTGAGATCAAACCATATATTATAGATCTTGATTCAACAAATAAAACTTTTGTTAATAACAATCCAATTCCACCTTCAAGATATTATGAGTTAAAAGCATCTGATACTATAAAATTCGGTTTCAGTTCTCGCGATTATGTTTTGATTCATGATGAATTAGATGACGGAAACCCTTGAATTATGAATTGTAATATATAATATTGTTTCTTTTAAAGCAGTTTATATAACTTCTTTGATGTTTTTGGTATTGCGTCGAAAAAAAAAAAAAAAGGTTCTATATAGAGGATTTAATTATTTAATTTATTTGATTTCCAAATCATTGAATGAACATTAAACATTATAAATGATAACAAAAAAAAAAATTTGCGAATTGATTATGTTATTATATAGTACCTCTATAAAGACTATACCTACTTGACGCAAAAAATAAAAAAAAATGATGATGATAAAGAAAATGACCTTTTGAAATTTTTTTTGTTTTGTTGTTTTTTTGTTTTGTTTTGTTTTTTTTTTTTTTGAATTTCTTACAAAATCGAAAATGCTAATTGGTTGAAGTTATCATTTCCTGAAAAGTCTTACTTCCATGATTAACTGAATCATCTTGCTTTAGATCCCTGAGCCACTTGCGTCACCACCATCTTCGAGTTTCTTTTCATCAATTATTTCGTTTTCAAATTTATCATCTTCATTCATATATTCATCCATGTAAGAATTTTCAAATACCACTTTGGTGTTTGCATCGTCATCCTCCTCTTCACCAGAACTATCCCCAAATGCACTAAATAATTCCTTTGAAGTCATAAATTGTTTGTTACCTCTGGTTAATGGAACAGTATCTTCACCCAAATTCGAAGCATCTGAATTTTGTAATGAATCGTATATTTCTTTATAAATGCCTTTACCCTTTTCATCCCAAAAATGTTTTTTTGCAAAATATGCTAATCCAGCAAATATGAAAGCAAATCCCATGCCGAGAACTGCTATAATCCATGTACTTGATTGAGATGATTTATCTTTTGATGAATTTGTATTTGATGGTTCGACTTCTTCAGTCGTACTAACTTTCTTTCCATCGGAGGAAGGTTCGAGAGAAGGTGTAGGTGTAGGCTTTACAGACGTAACTGGTTTTACAGTAACATTCTTTTGTTCACCCCATAACTTTAATCTCCAATCAATAAATGTTCCCGTATATTCTGGATTTCGAGTATCTCTAACCTGAAGAGCCCACCTACCGATTGGATTTTCATCCCTAAAAATAGATCAAAAATAAATCTTTTTTTTTTTTTAAAAAAAAAAAGAGGAGACTAAAACTGAAGTAACTTCAAATAATATCTACCAATGCTTAATACTCATAAAAGTCCAATTGGTTAAACCACCTCGATGTACATCATACATTCTTGGGGCTCCAAGATGTGATATTATTTCGTTTGGACTAATCAAATCAACTTGTATATCGCCTCTTCGAGTATGATTAATATTAACCGTAACTGTGACATGCTCCAAACGTCCAAGTTTAGCGTCATCAATGTCACGTTGTGTTACTTCTATACCACTTATAATACCTTCATCATTCATAGGTATTGGTTTATTTACTTTGGTGGTTGGCATTTCAAAGAAAACCTGAGGCCCAAGATTTTGAAACGTTTTAGCATTTTGAACGAGTCGATACGCATTTAGTAATCCATAACCATATTTGTGACTGAATAAACGTCCAGCAGCATTTTTGTCCCACTCAGGATCTTTCAAATTGAACGGAATGGCACTGATAAGTTGCAGATATTGCATATCGCGCCAAGTAAGGTCCGGTCTTTGCGATATATATATAAGGGAAAGAAAAAAAGAAATATTAATAAATGATTTAATTCAATATCATTGACTCGTTTGATTTGATTTGATATTTTTTTTTTTTTTGATTTTGCTATTGCTTTTCGTTCATATTAACTTTGTTGAAAGAAAACCAAAACAAAATCCCAAATGAAATGATGTAATAATTATAAAAATTTTACCTGATTTGAAGGACAAGAGCGTATACTCCCGCCGCAATTGGGGCAGCGGCTGAAGTACCCCCGTGAAGATTGGTACAATTACCTGGTCCAACATCGGTAGTATACTAATATATTAACGATAGATGAGTATATTAAACGTACAAATAAATAATAAACAAATTCATTTATATTTATATTTATTTATATTTACAATAAAACTCCCGCTTCCACTACTTAAAGTTGTCACTAAAAGCGCGGAACATTTTTCCGCATAGTAAGGGTGTGAATAGGTACGGTCGACCGCACCAACAGTCATTGTATATAAACTATTTGTATATCCATCATAATTGCAATTATCATCATTAGCGCCTCCGTTGCCTGAGGCGAATACGAATAAACTACCTTTACCCCCACGCCCCTCATTTATGCCTTTGAGAATAGCTTTGAAAATTAGCCCCTTGGGAGCTTCAGTCGATTGACCATCATCAGGTGGACCCCAACTACATGAATAGATGTGATTCTTTTGGAATTTATAGTTAAGTGCTTCAGCTTCATCTACATCAGAAATTTCTGCCGATAATATACGAATGCCTTATAAAATTAATTTTAAAAGTTAAAATCTCATTATTTTCAATTTGCACATTACATTCAATCAATTATTATTACCTGCAACCTTGGCATCTGGGGCAACTCCTACACCGCACACATCATTTTTTACGGCCGCAATTTCACCAGCACACCTCGTTCCATGGTTATCATCCATAAGTCGAGGTTTTGGTAACGGGGTATGGTCGTTAAAATCATAAGATCCTTCTTCAAACTACAGATCACGATCACAAAATTATATAAATAATGATAAGATTTATTTAATTAAATCAAAGAAAAAGATCAATATAATCTACATACAAAGTTCTCTTTCAAATCTTTACTATCAAAATCTAAGCCATCGTCAACTATAGCTGCTATTACCCCTTTACCAGTTATACCTTGTTGATAGTATATAATTGAATTAATACATACAATGAATCCATTAAATTAACAATTGATTTTTTTTTTAAAAAAAAAAAATCTCTACCTTCTTTCCATACTCCTGTAACATTAATATGATGATCGATCTCCAACGGATTAACCTAATATGTGAAAAGTTACAAATAAAAACAAAAAGATTAAGATACATGTATGAAATTGTTGAATGTAAAAGCATGTTAAAACCGAAAAACCCACCAAATGCCATTGATATTTAAATCCTGGGTCATGAATTCCATAAGCGGCACCTATATCTTCTGTATCAACCTTATTTTTTGGTCGAGGAATTGGAGGAGGGACTCTCTTATGCCTTTTTCTCAGTTTTTGCTTTTCAACAGAAAGTATTCCGTCAATTATCTCGTGTGACCTTTTTTTTAATGAAGGATTTTGTTGCCTTTCTTCTTTTAGTGAACGAAACTTAAGTAAAACACGATCATTACTTTCGTCACTTAAATCAAAAGCCGAATCAAGAGATCGAACAACTAGGTGTGTTATTTCTTTTGAAGAACTGTACAAATGATGGTTGTCTAGCGCTCCTATTGGTCCATCGTATCTAATTTCAAGTAATTCGGACACTTCTCTAGGTAAAATTCGTGAATCATCTTTAAGCTCTATAGCATAATAATAGTTATTATTATAATCTCGCTTCCTTGGTCCATTGTTACTTTCTGTAGTTGCCTCAAAATTGTCAAATAATAATATGAAAATGGTTATAAATAATAATGATCCAAGGAATGTTTTTACTGGCAATATTGCCATGATTTATTTTATTTTTATATTTTTTTAAAAAGAATAAATATACAATTAAAAGTTTGTTAGAATAAATTTTTTTAACCGCTCCGTATTTTTTTTTTTTTTTAATAAAACCGTGTCGAAATATCATTGATTGGTTGTCTTTATTGAATTTTTATGTACAATTTGAATCAGCCACAAGGCGAAATTTCCGGTTGACCCCAAGTTATTCGGGAGTCCTACCTCTATTGCAGATAAAATAATATATATTTGGAGAGGTCATTTTGGCTAATTTTTACTATGAAAATATATTGAGAAAGCGATCCTCCGCGAAACAAATTGTTGTTGATCATAAATAGTTGGTTTTCAGATTCATTCAAATTGAGGCAAAATGATCCGAGTTTATTGATCGATCACTTTCAAATTTGTTTGGGACGAAACAGATCATAATTAATTTAAAATATAAAATAATAATTGATTTTTGAGAAAGCTTTTGAATATAATAGGATCGTTCTTTAGAAAGTTAATTCATCATCTGTTAATAACAATTTATGGTTACTTAAATGATGATGATAATGATGAAAATATATTAGAAAAATCAAGCATGCTAATTTATATTGACATATATTATCTTTGATTGGCTATTTTAAAATGACTTGTTAAATTTCTAAATTTGTTAAATTATAATTTAAAAAATAATCTACACTAATCTAAAAGTTTATAAATCAATTTAATACTAAATAAAGTATTAATATTATAAATTTTAAATTAATAAAGTTAACAAATGCTTCTTTTTGTAAGCATTATATATAGAATTTTAAAAATTTTCAAATCCTTATAAACTTTAAATAAAAAATTTTGGAATAATACTTAATTTGGTATTTTTAAATAAATTTTTAAATTTATTTAATTTTTTATTTTAAAATACTATTTTACAAAAATTCTTATTTATAAATTTTTGTTTTAAAGTATTTTAATAATTATATACTATTATAAATTTTATACAATTTTATAGTTTTCAAAGATTTGATTTTAACTTATTTTAAATTATTATGTTAAAAATTATTAAATATTAATATGCTTCATATTTTATTAATTAAAAAAAAAAATTATTATTATTTATGTTTCTTTAATATAAAAAAAAAAAATGTAATAATCAATATTTTAAAACTTTATAATCTTATAATTGAATATTAAATTAAAACAAGTAAAAATTATATAAATAAATAAGTAGGTTATAAAATATATATTTATTATAACTTATTTATATTTATTTATAAATATATTCTTTTAATTAATAATTTTTAAGATATCATATAATTGATTTTTAAGAATATATTAAAAATCAATTGATTTAAAAAAAAATTCAAAATGTAATTAATTATAAATTTTTTAAAGATAAATAAATAATAAATTATTATAAAAAAAATTAAA